TACTTCAATAAAGCGCTGTCTGCACGGACCACTCGTCCTTCGTACGTGGCAGCGCATATCGTGTTAGGACCAGTAGTCCGAGCAGGCGGCGTCAAACTAATGCAAAAAGATCTTTCAAAGGAGTATAGTTTAAGCTCCATATGCTAATGATTGCTGGTAAGCAAAAGCTCTAGATTACTGACCTGCTATTACTGCGCGATCACGAATATAGCCATAAAAAAATTTTATACTATGTAGTCGCGTACCTTAGAAGGAATGGCCAAGAAATTATGTGTCTGTTGATCTCACTGTGCTTGTTTCAGGTCTCTATGAACCGCGAATTGAGCGATCAAATATGGCTGGTGGCAACAGAAAGATCATCCTGAGTGAAAGTATCTCCTTACCAGCAGCTATCGCAGTGGACTTTAGGTAGACACCGCACATTCTCGGCTGTTGTTTATTTGACAACTTCGAAAATGACATGTGATTTTCCAGAGATATGAAGATCTACTGGGCGGATGTCAATCGTCTGAACATCGAATGCAGTGATTATGACGGCAATAATAGAAAAGTAACACTTTCGGTAATTGTTTTTTCTCGCAAAAGTCAGCGATAATCTTTAAGGTAATCGGAGCTGGATATCGTGCCAAGTCATTAGACTTGTGGGATCAGTGGATATATATGAGTGATCCTCTAAGCAATGGAGTTTTCCGTCTCAACAAGGTGAACGATAATAAGTGTACCTATATTTCTGGTTTAAAAAGCTGTTCTTGTAGGATTCTGGCGGTAGCATTGAGACAGTGGTTGGAGATCGTCGTATCCCAGGAACTTTGAGAGTGTTTGCCTCGGAAAGCGATGTGAGAACCAGAAATCAGATATGCAACGCTTTGACATCATCCCTGTGCAAGACTGATAATGGAGGATGCGATCAGGTAAAAAATCAAAAATCTCAATCCAAGCATAGAGTGGGATAGTTCAAGGTCCCCATACGCTTAGAAAGGAAACACTAGTTTTATAGGGAAAATTATGTACCTTAGAATCTGGCATATAGGGCCTCCCCGCA